CTAAGGTGAACCAGGGAAATATATAAACCATGGATACATGAATGTATTTTGAGCTTGCACTTAATCATGACCCTAAGCTAAGAACAATCAGTGGCCCTACTTGATACTTGTCTTCATGAAGCAATCACTGAAAATATGGGTGCTATGTCAAAATGTGGTGAAGAAAGTAGATGGTGCCTGACTAAGAAACAAAAGTATTTGGTATCTTAAAGGCTTATCTCCAAACAAGCAGCTATCATCTAAGTGAGGTATCAGCTAAATCCACCTGGAAGAAGCATACCAGCTTCTGTGTTCCAAGGATTGAAAATAATGAAATCTAAGACCAGAGAAGGAAATGGTATTAGAGCTTAATTCTGAGCACCCCGTTTGCAGAAAGCTGTGGTTGGCAGTGAAAGCCACAAATACATTTGCAGGGTCTCATGTGGATTAAGTCTCTGGTGACTCCTCTCTAAGCATTGACTAGGGATGTGAATAGCCTTGCTTTCAGAGTACACTGGAAGTGGACTAATGTAGATGTAATTAGGTTAAAATTTAACACCTTAGCATTTCTTCTCCCTAAGTTTGTTCCAAGTTTTTTAAATATTTTCTGCTTTCTTTTTGATTGAGGTTTTTCTCCATTTTATTTTGTTATATTGTTTTATATTTTGGGGGGGGGCAGTTTTTTAAAATTTGAAATGCAGGATAGGAAAGTCTATAGGGACTATAACTGGATTAACAGTTTCTTAGGGGTAAGGCAGGAAAGTTTGGGGGGAAATGGGGAGCCAATAGTAATGAGTACAGGAAAGAAGAAAACGTTCTAAAGTTAATTGTGCATAAGATTGCTGTTGGTTGAAACTGACTTGATGGCACCTAAGAACAATGATGACACAACTCTTATATAGCTTATCTAGATCTTCAAACTCACTGCCATCAGGTCAGTTCTGACCCATATCAACTCTATAGGACAGGGTAGAACTCTCCCTGTGGGTTTCTGAGGCTGTTAACTGTTTACGAGAGTAGAAAGACTCATCTGTTTTCCTGAGGAGCAACTGATCCTGCAGTTAGCAGTGCAATGAGTGTATATATATATAATATATATATACACTATATATATATTATATATACACATATATATAATATATATATTATATATATGTGTGTGTGTGTGTATATATAATATATATATATATTATATCGCATTTTATGTAATTAGTGTGTATATATGAGAGACCTAAAATAACTATAGGAAGAGGCATATGCATATTTATGTTCATTGTTGTTTTATTTACAATAGTAAATAAATGGAGACACCTGAAGTGCCCATTAAGGAATGAATGAGTAAGCAAATTGTGAGAAATATGTACAATGGAATACTATTATGCAACTACAGAGAACAATGATAAGTCTGAGAAACACACCATGGATGAACTCGGAGGGCATACGACTAAGTGAAATAAATCCAGCATGTATAAGAGCATACATGATCTGACTTGTACAAGAAGGCAATAGACAAATACAGAAAGACCAATGTTCATTGGTGGTTACCAAGGAAATGATCAGGATGGGGAAAATAAGCATAAATCCATAAAAAAACATGTTATTGTTGATGATGGGAAGAGTGGCACCAAATGTAGATGCTCATCTATAAATGAGTGTTTGAACATATATGCATTCATAGAAATGTGTATGGGAAGGTACATATCTGAGATATTGGGAGGTAAAATTGACCAGCCTTGATGACTAATTTGCAATAACAACTGAAGAAAAGGTGAAGCTAGTGGGATAGAAGATAACGTAAGGAACTGAGTTTTCAAATGGAGAATGTCAAGGAGTGAATGAGTGATGGGATGATGTAAACACTGGGTTGAGGGATCTATGTCCATGAAAATAACCATGAGATTGCCAGAAACAATTACACTACAATAAGAGGCTGAGAGCATGGAGGGTCCCGTATAGGAGTCATTGGGATGTACGTGCATGTGAAGACAGGATAGTAAATGTATCCCTAAGGAGGAAGTGTTTCAACCTTAGAAGAGAGGCACGAAGCTCGCACAGCCTTGGGACCCCTCTGCAGCCTAGTTCTACTCTGGCACACGGGATCGCCATGTGCAGAAATTATCATGGCAGCTGGTTTGCTCACTTCCATGTTTTTCTGTATATCTTCATATGATAATTCAGCTTGTGTTCTTTCTTTTTCACGCATTTGTTAGCTTTTATTATGAATTGTTTGAAAGTTTACAGAGCTTGGTTTTGCTTTCACCAATTCGGACACATTTTGCTTTGTGGCATTGCTTGCAGTCCCCAAATGAAGCAGCGTTCTTCTCACGTTCTTTGTTTACTGTTTCCATTTGTCCTTCTTTCCTTTCCCTCTATGCCAATGGTTCTCAACCTTCCTAATGCCGTGACTCATGTTGTGTTGACCCCCAACCATAAAATTATTTTCGTTGCTACTTCATAATTGTAATTCTGCTACTGTTATGAATCATAATGTAAATATCTGATATGCAGGATGTATTTCATTGTTGCAGATTAAACATAATTAAACATAATTAAAGCATAGTGCTTAATCACAAAACAATATGTATTACATATTGTGAAATATTTATGTTTTCTGATGGTCTTAGGTGACCCCTGTGACAGGATTGTTCGACCCCCAAAGGGGTTGCGACCCATGGGTTGAGAACCACTGCTCTATGCCTTCTGAGCTTTGATTCCTGGGCAAATGTTCTTTGGATCTGAAGGGTTGATTGTTCTAAAGAGTGCATACCTCTCCAGTGGTATAGGTCTGTCTAACATTTGTGTAAACAATGATGTGTTTGTGTGTGGGGTGTAAATGCAGTTCCAGGCTTAAGGAGTGTCTCGTATTCTCAGATGTTTCATAAGTTTCTATCAGACCCTGAACATTGATGTAAATGCAAAATTTTTAATGATTTTTATTTTTATGAATTTTCTCCTACTCTATCCAAGACCTCCTATTGTGATCCCTTTCAGAGAAGGCTGCAGTGGTAGGTGGGTACCATCTAGTTCTGGTTTGAGAATCATGGATTTGGGGGCTTTCTTTAGGACCTAATGTATTCATAGTGAAATTTCAATGAAAGCCTTAACAGTTTGATGCCTGATTGTTTTCAAGATGTCCCTAGAATCATGGTTCTAATAATACCAACAGCACTTATTAAGTCAATTGATTTTGTGAGACAATTTTTTCAACTGCCAGACAACTAACTACCTTTTAGTTTTTGTTTTATTTTCTTAAAACAATTTTGATAAACAAAACCCAGCAGCTTCAGAATAGAAATGAAATTCAGTATGGCTGAAATGTTTACAATTAAAAGAATCCCCCAATTAACTTCATATAACTGATCATTCAACTGCATATGATTTATACATTTTTATTATATCCCAATATTTCTTACCATTCTGCACATGACAGATAAACACTACCCTTGAAACTGATGGGGTTTTGAAAATCACTCATATTAGGCATAATACAAAATAAACATATTCAAAATGGGATTAATTAGGCAAATCATAAGCTGGTTTAGGTAATCTTCTGGTTTTACAAAAATCCTTTCCTAATTGTGCAAATGACAGCAGATTTTTAGATTACACTGACCATTCTACAACATAATAGGGACTGTCAGTGTTTGATAAAATCAATGACTATGAAAATAGACCTACATGCAAATCTCATTTGACTACTTACAACACTACTTGTGTTATCATCTTGAGTGAATGATTTAATCTCCCAGAGTCTACATTGGTTTATCAGTTAAATGGAGATGAAAATATTGACCTCAGAATTTCTGTGAGGCTTAGCAAGAACGATTTTAGAACACCTAACACTCTACTTGGTCCTCATCCAGCAGTAGCTTTGACATTGACAGTTTTCTCATATCTCTTTGGCACAGGAGCAAAAATGAATCATTTGTAGAATTAGGCAGGACAGATGGAAATGAAGAACAAAGTGGCGAATCAGCACTTAGAAATTAAAAACCAAAGCCACGTCGGTGCAGTTGCCATGTGCCTCTAATGGGAAGGAGAGGAGGATCAACAGAGAGCAGTGTTGGTGAAGCTTCTCCTCACGATTCTGCCAACTTGACATTTTTGCCTATAAAGGTACTGCAGAGTCTTGGAAATGTGGCAACATGGGGAAGCGCTTCCTTTTCCACTTGGTGCAAAACTGACAGTGAGGGAAATAACTGAGAACAGTGTACCCTGTGAACTATTCCATGTCACTTTGCATATTCTTCCTATATTTCAAACTTAGATACGAATCACTTTCAAAGGAGTAAAAAAGGAACACAACAGCAAACCCACCACAATCAACCATGTAAGGCCCAGAATTCCTCTTAGATGCTACACATATTCATGACTGACTAGAGGCAAATAGTAATTAGAATTGCCATGAAAGCAATAGTTATTTACCCCCAATGAGTAAAAATGTTAGATTTCTTATTATGGAAACAAAGTGCTTGTGCATTCTCCTGCCTGTTAGTGTCTACTTGGAATAGAAATGAACCTATCTAAAAGTAGCTAAATAAACCGGACAGCTAGGTGAATGCTAAAATATTAGCTAGAGTTGACTAAAACTGAATAGGCTAAATGAGAAACAAATTGAGATTCACTTCAAACTACTGGGCTAGGGAACACAAATGCGACAGTCCTTAACGACAGATAAGTAAAGTGGGCCTTTCAGTACTGATGACAAGGTGAAAGAAGAAGAGCACCTGATGGCATTGCAATCAGTGTTTGTAATTCACAAGTACTGTTTGGAATACAGTTTTCAAAGGGGCAGGTGTTGCTTTACTGTGTTTTAGAGGAAAGCATCTATTGGCTCCAAAGCATCACACGGAGTTGTCTAGGTCAGCATAAGAGATGAACGTTTTAAAGGGAAGGCTGAAGGACTATCGTAGCTGCCAATGAAGATACAGGCTCACTCTACGTTCCCCTCAATAAAAGAAAAACAGAGATCGATGAACTCCTGCAGACAAGACATAAATAAAGTGAGGGACCCATCTTACCTCCATCCAGCTCCTCGGCTCCAAAATGATTCCTGTAGAAGAGCATGATTTCTATCTTGTAACACTTGTAGATGGTCACCAAACAAACGAGCAACAGGAGGATAGCACCCAGCCCTCCAGCAAGTTCAACTGTGTACATTAGTTCTGGTGGGGGGAGAGGGAAGAGAAGGGGCGATGGAGAGAACAAATCACAAGAGACTTATATTCATCATGAAAAGCATCATACATTCGACTTAATTTCACCAGTTGTGGATGAGACTAGATGTGGGGAAAGTGATAACACAACCCATTCTCCTTCTAATGAGAAGGTGACCTTTGGGGAACTTTCTAGGTCTGTTCCCTTGGTAGCCAGGTGAGGTACTTTATGATAAAACACTGCTAAGTAACATTGCTTATTGTAAAAATGATCTTTCATAGGTAGTTTACATTCAACCTGGAGAATTATAAATAGCTAATTGGAAAGCTCAATCGTGGGCTTCCTTCCTGAGATGTGGAACTCTCGTATGGAGCAGCAACAACAAAATCAAACTCACTGCCATGGAGACCGTTCTGACTGATGGCAATAAAGGGCAGGGTAGAACTGCGCCTGTGGGCTTTGGAGACTGTAACTCTATGGTAGTCGAAAGCTTCCTCTTTCTCTGAGCGGTTGGTGGTTTTGAGCTGTTGACCGCTCTACTGGCAGTCCACCACTTAACCACTATGTCACCAGGGGTTAATAAAAGAAAGAATGGTTCCTGTGGCTCTAAGGCTTTTAAGCCAAGATGATGGCTTTTACATTCACCCAAAGTGAATTCTGGTCACTCCCACCAGAGTTGACATCTTGGGGTTAAGGCCAAGGGGAGGCAATCAGGAGAGTTCCTACAAGACGGGATAGCCTATTGCACAGGATGTTGTGAGGATTGCTGGCTGTTAAAAAGCCATCGTTCCTTTTGAAAATGCTGATGCCCAGGTGGCCAACCATAGTCTGAGCAGCTAAATGCTTACTTGAGAAGACCTCTTCATGGGTTTTGTAACAGACTATGTTGCTATCATTTTCCTGTCCGTGTGCTACTTTTTCAAAATGTCCTTTGTTTCCTCCAGTCCTAGATAGGCTACTACATTTGATATTAAAAAGGAATTTGCTTTCCACCGTATACAATTTCCTTTTTCCTATTGAATGTCTGGTTTATATCAAAACATTATTGGGCAACTTTGGGGATAAAATACACATGTCTCTCTTCTCAGAGTGTATGGACCTCATAACAATATCAAGGCTACTGGAATTTAGACGTGAAGTAGATGATATGAAAAAGTCACTAAAATGAAATGCCTGTGTATGTAGCTTGTGCTTGATCATCACAGTCCAAAGGTCGTTACTGATGCCTAGCCGTTCTTCCTGCAGTTGACACATATCTGGAAAGGTCCTAGTTTCCTTAATTAACACAAAATAGAGACATTTCGAAAAATTCAGCTCTAGCATAATGATACATTTGAATCTGTAATTTCGACACTACCACTGTCTTATCCAATTGCCAGCACAATCAATGCAGGCTTACACTAAGAATTTTAAAATAATGTCTAGTTTTTCCGTAATGACTCTCAAGCAACAAGACCACCTTTGATATCTTTCAAATGGGGTTATCATTTTCATATTAAAATTTTCTCCGGATGTGTTATTATATGATGTCACTTTTTCTGTGAATATTACAGGAAAAAACCCTCTGCTATATTTCTCATTATCCAGTCCTTCATCCCGAATTCAATAATTTAATTAAAAAACATATAACTACTCTTTAATCAAATTTGTTTTCTGTACTTATTAGAATTAAATGGGGAATGGAAGAAAATCTTATTAAAAGTGATTATACATTATGAATTTAAGAAAGGAAAATAAAGTGGGATATTAAATCTTTAGAGCTAAATAAATTAATATGAATTGTGAAATACTGGAAAACACCTCCAGGAGATTTTTATTATTTTGTACTTTTAAATATCAGACAGCTTTATCAGCTTAACTTTGTAAGGGACCATACAAGATAGTGGTCTAGAAATTAAATATGTTATCTTTCAAAATAAAGCATTACAACTTCTTTATTACAAAATGGGTGACTCTCCTCCCATTGAGTCAGTTGTGACTCAGGGTGACCCTATAGGACAGGTAGAACTACCCCTGTAGGTTTTCAAGGCTATAACTTTTTATAGGAGAAGAATGCCACATTATCTCCTGAGGAGCACCTGGTGGTTTTGAACTGCTGAACTTGTGGTAAGCAGACCAACACTTAACTTCTGTGCCACCAGGGCACCTACAACAAATAGGGTAGTGTAGAGATAACACAGTGGGGTGCCTTGGGTCTTATTCTCTTAGGGTATGAGTTAGACTCCACTCTACACAGAACCCTGTGTTACGTTATAACTTAAAGATAAGCATTTGTTCTAAAGTTTGTTTTAAAATTCAACGAGCATTTTTTACATTCAAGATATTAAGCACTTGGGGATTACCACCCTAATGTGTCTTGTGTAATAAAGCAAACATTTAAGCTATCAAGATGCTTAACTCCCACACCTCAACATTGTTAGTAGGAGTGCACAGTGGTAGCACAATATTCAAGATTTTCTGGTAGTTTCTAATAAAGTTAAACATGAATCTACTCTATACTATAACCAGCCACTCCATCCCTTATATTGACCTCGGAGTAATATAAGCAGATGCCCACAGGAACATTTGTACAAGAATGTTCAGAATAGCCTTACTCATAATAACAACAGAAACCACCTCAACCAACAAGAGGATAGCCGAACAAACCATTCTGATGTCCCTATCATAGAAGCGACTCACTCACATAACATACGTGGATTTCACAAAATTTTGTTCAGTGAAGGAATCACATGCAAATTATTAGCTCCTCTATGGTTCTATTTAAATAAAGTTCAGGAGAAGGCTACTTGGAGAGAGACATTTTTTTTTTTTAAGTAGCTTTGGGGATGAGTGAAGGGAAAGTATATTGGAAAGGGGTAAGGTTTTAAAGGGAAGGAGGGATTTTATGCCATTTTTAAGGTGAAGTTACCCAAGTATACATTTTTGTCAAAGGTCATTGAATTAAAAGCTTAAGATCTATGCACTCTATCTTATGTTAATCTCATTTCAATTAAAGCATCCATTGTAAGTTCTAACTTCAAACCTCTGTGGGGAGAAGACTAAGGAAGACTGGGAGTCAGGACAGCTGCTCTAAGGCATGGCACCATGCCTTGGCATCTTGCTGACTTAAGTGCCTATATCTGGCCCAATAGGTTTAATTTAGGAAAGCTGAAAAATCAAAAACCATGACTGAAGTATAGTTCTATTAATCCAATAGGCAGAATTCTCATTTTCAAAAGGTAGTATTTATAATACTATTTTATATATTATTTTGCTTTATTGAGTATATAGGAGTATAAGAGAAAGACAACTTTTATTGTAGTCAGTGCTTACGATTTTTTAGAGAATTGCTCAAAGGTGAATAATTCCCATTGTTGGACATCATGAGCCATTCAAAAATTGTATTCCTTACCTAGAATGATCTTTTTAGTTCACTAATCCATAGAAGAGTAGTGCCCGAAACCCAATGACACCAGAAACAGAGCACGAGTGCCATAGCTTAGCAAGGACAGAAAGAGTCGTGTGTCATTTTGAATACCTCCTTCCCATACAACTATATTTAAAAAGTTACATACCAGTTATACCTAAAGTGAAAGCAATATATGAGAATAAAGATTCTGAGTCGTATGATCGTTATTTTGTACTACTAGAATATGCATGGTCACCAAGTGGGTTCTACCTTATGTTATTTTGTTGTTGTTGTTGTTGTCAGGTGCCTTTCAGTCAGTTCTGATTCGTAGCAACATTTTCCTTTGGTTCATTCACCTTGAGATATACTGTGTGTGTTTTTCTTTGGCTTTCTAACTCGAGTCTTACACATTTCATTATAATAGTTAACTGAATCTTCTCCTTAATTTTTAATTTAAAATGTTCTCTTCCTTACTTTATGTAATTTCATCTTTTTCTTATTTCTTGTCTCCTTAATGAACTTTTGCTTTCTTCAGATATCATATTCGTGATTTCATCCCACAGCGCCTCAGTTCTTCTGTCACTGTTCATTGCATCAAATCTGTTCTTGAAAGTCAGGTGGCATATACTCAAGGTCATTTTTTGGCTATCATGGACTTGTCTTCATTCTTTTTTCAATTTCAGCCAGAACTTAGGTATGAGCAATTGATGGCCTGTTCCACAGTGAATCCTTGGCCTGGGTTTGGCTGCTGATATTAAGCTTCTCCATTGTCTCTTCCAACAGCTGTAGTTGATGTGATTTCTCTGTAGTCCATCTGGGTAAATCCATATGTACATTTTCCCTTTATGTTGTTGACAGCAGGTACTTGCAATGAAGAAGTCATTGGTCTTATGAAATTCGATCATATGATCTCGGTCTGAATTTCTGTAAGTCATAGTATCCCTCCATAGGGTTTTCAAGACTGGTTATCTTTACAGGAGCAGATAGCCTCGGTTTTTCTCTTGAACTATAGCAGCCTAATATTTACCCCACAGTGCCGTCAGGGCTTTTCTTTACTAATGATATTCAAACTAGACTCTCTGCTACTGAGTCAATTCTGCCACATAGCCACCCTATAAGACAGGATAGAACTACACCCCGTGTGTTTCCAAGACTCTTTACAGGAGTAGAAAGCCTCCTCATTCTCCCTGAGAGCAGCTGGTGGTTTCAAACTGCTGACCTTGATGTTAGCAGCACAACACATAACCATTATACCACCAGGGAGGGCAGTTACTAATAATATGGATACAAAAACTGGTCATAGATGCAGCATTTACACGAGTGAATTTGTCCTGACTTGGCCCTGGCTGTGCAGTGATTAATGGGTTCCTTTGCTAACTTAAAGTTGAGCTGTTCCCACCAACAAGCAGTTGCATGGGCGGAAGTTGTGGCACTCTGGTTCTGTAAAGATTCCTGCCTTGGAAATGCTGTGTGGAAGTTCTAATCCAGTGATTCCCAACCTTCCTAAGGCCGCGTCCCTTTAATACAGCTCCTCATGATGTGGTGACCCCCCAACCATCGAACTATTTTCGTTGTTACTTCATAACTGTCATTTTGCTACTGTTATGAATTGAGTGACCC